CACCTGTGCAGGGCTGGAGTTGTCCTAATGATGCTATGGGACCCTTCTGATTCAGGATATTCATGATTCTATGAACTGACATAGGATGTGAAGCTTCTAGCTGCATCCTGCCTCAGTTGATGACCTAGAACAAGCTTTTCACTCCTAGAGTCAAATGGAACAAGCTCAGTTTCTTGAGGGGTGGAAGTAGTGCCTTAAAGTAGGATGATATTCCATTTTAAATGTAATTGAACAGCTTTTCATTCAATTTTAAAGCAAAATTAAATGAAGCTTTGGCTTCATTTTTCTTTGGAAGTGATAATGAAAGCATTAACAACTGACAGGCAAACTGTCAGCTCAGACTTGAAGGTGGACATGTCTGGGAGGTGTGGAGGAGTTGGTAGGAGTTCACCTTCAAAAGCAACTCTGACAAAGGTATCACAGTTATGACTCACTCCATCTTGACTGATGTTGTTTCCAGGTCTTTTCCAAGAAGACCAAGTAGAGGGAGGGGTAATCTTTAGAGCCTGTGTATGATAGCCTAAATGGGTTTTGTATATTTGCAGATAAGTGATAGTGACCTCCTTTACTGGAGGGAACTGGTCTCCAAATGCCTGGCAGATTACTCCTCCCCCGAGTGCTGCAAGCCTGATCACACCAAGCTGGTTTGGATCGTTTCGAGACGTACAGCCCAGAACCTGCAGAACAGCTACTACAGTGTTCCTGAGCTGCCAACCATCCCAGAGGGGGGATGCTTCAACGGCAGCGAGAGGTGGGTTAATGGGTTGGGAATCCTCTTCCTGGAGTGCTTGTGGCAACTCTCTCACTAGGCTTAACCACTGCCACTGGGGAAGAGAAGTGCTAGTTTTGAGAGTACAAACAACACATCATCAGTGGGATAAAACTAGCCTGTCTCATGATGGTCTGATATTGACTTGGAATATTAAGGAGAAGGAAAAAGAGGGGGGACTGACATTGCTGATGTTCTGAAAGTGCTTTTCAGGGTGGGGGGAAGGCATTGTGTTAGGGCAGGGAGGCTTCAAAGCATTTCAGGCTGCTGAAGGAGTTCATGTTTGGTACCGTGAACACTGGATTCTGGAATGGTTGGATGCTGTTGACATTGGGAAAGTTGTACATTGTTAGGATTTTACCTTTAGTGCTGAGCAGTGTTTGGATGTGGAATGTTAATACCAGGAAGAGAAAAGCCCAAGATTGAGGAGCACTTTGCCACTTTGAAGGGGTTGTGCTTTGTTAAAATTGCCTTTCCCACTGTTCCTTCTAGTGAAGACTCCTGTGAAGACATGAGCAGCGGAGAAGAAAGCCTTAGCAGCTCTCCTCCAAGTGATCTGGAAGGCACCTTCTTCTTTGACCTCAAACCCAAACCCAAGTGGCAAACTCTCACCTGTTGCCCCCAGCACTGAGTCTGCATTGTGTTAGGTTGAGGCTTCTGATAGACCATAGAGTCTTTTGGCAATAATAAATGAGGTGGTGATCTGTAAACTGTATTGAGGCAAGAATTGCTGTGGTATATCAATGCTTTCAATGCCTGCCTTGGTTGGTTTGTTGTCATTTTAAGGAATTTTAAACAAAAACTACTTTTCAGGTCCCCAGAGCAGCAAAAAAAGTTCGTTTAGTTCTGTTGTCAATAACATGAATGTAGTCCTGTGCCTGGTGGGGCAAAACCCTCAGCAGCTCAACACCTGAGTTGATTTGGGGTCTTGACTGAGAAGCATGGAGCAAGAGTGAGAGGCTTTCATGGAGGTTAAACGTGAAGTGCTCAGTTAATGGAAAATGTGCTCCATGGGGACAGTCAAGCATGGGAGCTGGGATGGAATAGTCCCCATCCCGGGATGTTCTCAGGATTCAACATGACAAAACACCCCAAGCTTGGCTTGAATGGAGCGTTGACCCTGCTTTGAGCAGAGGTTGGAGTGTATGGTCCCTCCTGAGGGCACCTCCACTCCTTAGTGTTTTGGTGTTTGAGCCAGCTGGCTGAGTAGGATCCGTGGAATGGTGCCTATCCATAGTGCCAGGCTGGAATGGTTTACCCTCATGGGGGCCAAACACTGAAACTACTTTTCCTCTCCAGCAGGGTCTTGAGCTGTGCACTCCAGGTAGCAATTTTGAAGCTTGGTTTTTGTAGACTTCAGGGATCCCCATTTCACAGCAGGAGGATGTGTGGTAAGAGGAGGGTTCTAGTCAATAGAGTTCTCACTATGAGATAGCACAAAGTGTGTGGCCACAAGTAATTCCATATTTCCTTTAACACAGGTGTTTTGACACTGAAATCCACATTGTGTTACTTCAGTGTGTTTCAGATCTCAACATGTCAACCCATGCTATTAGCTTAGACTTCTTAACATGGTAAACCTTGCTAAGTCTTACATTCCTTTGAGTATTTAACCCTTGTAGTTGTTTTTCAGTATATTCATGTTATAGATTGAGTCATACCCAGACTTGTTTGCATGCTGGTGTAAAGCAGTTAGTGCAAGGAGAAGTTGGTATTTTGCAGTTGATATCAGGTAAATGTGATGGTGAAGTAGTTCATGTAATGGTTTTTCTTCTGGGCTGTGTTACCGAAGCACAAGTGGAAGTGTGGAGATGATTCTCCACGGGGAGCACAGGCTGAGTTAGCTGGGGGGGATGGTGTGACGTGTGGTGGTGCCAAAGTAGAAATGAAGGAGCAAACAAGCTACAAGCTGTTCCATAGGAAGGTAGGAGTGATGTTGTGAGTCCATAACTGTTCTGTGATTTCAGTTCTTGGGAAAAAAAAACAAGAAAAAAGTTTACAAAAAATGTATATGAAAATGTAAATTAAAAAAATGTACAGAAAAAAACTTTAAAAGAAAAAAGCATAAAATACTGTATTTTTTTACTTTGTATGTAACTTTTTGTAGGTCTGTGGCATGTAGATAGTAATTTATTGTGTACTCTGTATCATAACAATACTGTACCTCTGAGGACTTCTTGCTGTGAGTCTCTGCTCACTCCAGGAGGACTTGGGTAAGGAACCTCCTGAATCTGGTTTCAGTGGAGAACAACAATAAACCAAGTGCTGTATTTGTTAACCAGTGGTTGTGGGTTACTTGAAGCTTTTGGCTTTATCCTGTGCAGGGGCTGTGGTCCTGCAGCTGTGCTCCAGCTTCCCCAGGAGCTCTGGGAAGCAGTTGGCAAAGGAAAAGGAGAGGCTGTAGTACTGGGTGGGAATCCTCAGTTTGTTCTTAGAAGTTGCTGTGTGTTATCCTGTGCTTATCCCAAGTATTATGAATAGCACATTTGCACATCTGGAGCTCCTGCTAGGGATTAAGGGTCATTCCAGGTTCTCTGGGTTCTGCTGGATTTGTTCTTGCTGTTGCTCTTCCAAGTGAAACCTGGTCTTGCGATGTGTCTTCACCTTGGCAGTTCAAAACACCTACAGTAACTCAAAGACAAACTTGAGCTCATTTCCTTCTACTCTTATCTTGCCAATTGGTGCCTGTGCTGCAAAAGTTATGGAATAAGGGGCTGCAAATGGTTCTTGCTGGAAAGATGTTCCCAGTCCTGGAAAGACTGAAGGAGGGAGCCAGGACCTGCACTTGGATTGCTGAGGACATGGCTTTAAGCACTGTAGTAGACTTGTGCCTTTGTAGATTGATGCAGATCTTCCCTTTTTCTCCTTTCTCTTTCTTGTGCAAAGGGTGGAGTGAGAAAGCTCCAAGGTGCTCCCTGTGCCAGGTGAGAAGTCAATCTGCCAGCTCTGCTAAGGGAAATCTGCCTTGGATGTTCTGACATTACTGGGAAGGAACAGGGTGCTGTGGTATCAGGGTGTAATGGCAATATTCAGGTTCTTTATGGCTTCATAGCTACTTACTTTAAATGCAGGAACACACAACAAGGGGTTCTCACTTCCCACATGCAACAGCTGAGGGATGGACACTTGGCCCTGGGAGTTGTGTGTGAGAATCCCTTCTGGGTAATAACACAGAATGGAGCTGTTCCCCCTGGAATGGTTCAAGGTTTTCAGAGCAGTGGTTGCTTGCTGGGGCTGCTTTGAACATGAAAGCTGCTGCAGCTGGGATGTTCAGCCTCTACTTCAAAGGTGCCCAGCTGGGTCATGTGAGTGCAGCCACCTCCTGGTGCTGGCAGTGGTACAGATGCTGCGTAGGTGGGCTCAGAGGAAGCCATGGGCAACCTTCCTGGCTTCACCAACAGCTCTGCAGCTCGAGGTGTGCCACTCAGCCCCTTTCAAGTTCATCCCAGCATGAAAATAACTTGGCTTGGAAGAAGGCTGTGGGGTTGAGCTCTGTGGTCTGATAATTTAGGCTTAGGTGTCATTGTGCCGGGTCAGGGAGCTGTGTAGCCCTCTGAGGGGTTTGCCTGCCTTCAAAGAGTGGAGCTGCTGCTGCTGCTTGGCTCGGCCTCAGCAGCAGAGGTGTGCGTGGCTTTCCAGTGCTGTTTGGGGCTCACCTGTACCACGTGGTGGGACTTTGAACACTCCCAGTCTCGGGAGCTGCAACATGCCATTTGCATAACTGCCTTGTCAGTAAGACTGGTTTGGGTGGGGGCTGAAGGGGAATGTTTCTGTGGGGATCCAGCCCCTGGGACAGCTCCAAGCTGTCAGGTTTCTGTAGGAGGGCTGGGATGTTAACTCCTTGTGCTGCCGGAACTGTTGGAAGGGCAGAGCTGAAGGTTCACATGGGTTTCTGAGAGGATCTTGAGATGTTATCCTGCTGCTCTCCTGGGCCTGCACTGGGCCCCAAGGGATCAGTAGTGGAACCACTTCTGTTCTGGTGAATTGTCATTCCATAATTAACTATAGTGGCTTTTTAAACAGGAAACTTGACTTCCTTACCACTCCATGGCATGGAACCAGTGCCACAGAGCAGTAAATCCTTCAGCATCATTCACTTAGCATGTTCAGACCCTGGGCTTTAACAGCTCCTTTTTTTTTTTCCTGGTGGAATAAGGATGTTCTGTCAGTCAGAGCTTGGAGCACTCTCTGTGCTTGGCTGTAGCAAGAGAGGCTGAACCACACAGAAAAGGAAATGTTGATCTGAAGGTCAGCACTGCCTCACAGTCTGAGGCCCTTTCTTTGTGTGTGAAGGGGATGGACTAACAGGTGAATGCCTTATTCTCCTGTTCCCACTTGGCTCTCAGGCCTTTGGAGCTCCACAAACTGAAAATCAGTAAATACTCAGCAGGTAATCACTATTATTCCTCTTAAAATCCATGTTGCAGCCATGGTGTGTCACACATTACTCCATGGTGTAAGCCTGTGGCTGGTGTAATGCCTCTACTCTGAGGAGAAAGTTGCCATAACAACTGAACGAAACCAATTAGAGTAATAAGCAATTAAAATCTCATCCTTAGTGTTGCATAAACATAGCATTTTGCTCATGAGTTATCAGCAATCTTCCCTCTAGACCTGCACATTCTGGTTCAGATTTGCAATCTCAAACCATCTTTGGATTAATGAAGCATTTCAGTTCTCCTTCAGAGGGTTCTGCTGGGGCTTTTTGGGGCTGCAGCAAGTACATCTTCATCAGAGATGTGAACACTTAAAACAGCTAAATGAAGGAAACATTTGTGATGGGATTTCCAGAGCACTCGGTGCTGGCTTCATTCCCACCCAGGGAAGTCAAGGAGAGGACTAAATAGAACTCCTTCCTCTGTCACACACTTCCTCCATGACCTTCTGTGTATTCCTGGTCCTCTCGCTTCCTTTCTTCCTCCTGAGCAGAACAAAGCCAGGAATAGCTCCTCGCTGCATTCTCAGTTGTCAAGGGTAAATCAGCTGAGACAGGGAATGGCAGAGCTGCTGTGGAAAGGTGGGATGTGTGAGGGCCCATGAGGAAGGAGAGCTCGCAGGCTGTTTGCTTTGCAGGGGCCTCTAGGCCTGTTCTCCCAGGGTTTCTTGTAGCTGTGGGTAAAATGTTTCAAAGGTTAGAGAGCAATTTATAATCCCAAAGTCTCCGAAGAACTTTGGAAAACATGACTGTGGTCTAAAAAGCAACCTTGTCCTGTACGATGGCTGAGTCAGGGATCTGGGGAGCCTTTTGCTTCCAGAGCTCAATTATTAACTCTGTGAAGGACCAAAAGCTCTGGCGGTGATCCCTGGCTCTGTCCTGGCAGGGTGACAAAAGCCAAGGCCAGTGGTCTGATGGCTTGTGCCACAGATGATCCCCAGGGTGGCGTGGTTCATGTGCCAACTCCTTGCTCAAGATGTTGGCATTACATCCAGAGGTCATGTGTTTGGGGCCTTTTGCTTTCCTAAGCTTTTATTGTTCCATGGGGTGCAATCCTGCCACCTTTATCCTGCCTGGGCAGCTGGGAAGAGCCACACACTCAGTGCTGTAAGTGCAACATGTGTATCACTTGGGATTTCCATCGTGGCTCCTTGGAAGGAATTTGGATGGGTTCTGTTTCCCTTGGATCAGTGAGCTCCACATTGCCACTGGAATAGCTGTTGGAGTATCCTTACAAGCCCGAGTTAGGGGTTCACTTTTTCATCCCAAACTAATTCCACATTAGTTCTCAGGGTGTTTAACATCAGGCAGGTGATGGTGGTGACACGTGTTCCTTGGATCTGTATGCAGAGATGCTCTGTGGCTCCTAATGCCTGTGGAAACATGGATTTCTGCTGCA